AATTACACACAGCCTAAAATAGAGAGGAAATGAGGTAGAACTCAAATACTGAGTGTTGGGATAATGTCCCTTTTCCTGGTTGTGCAAAGAAATTCTATGTAGAGCTTCTCAACTTGGTGACATTCCTAAGGTCTAGAGTCAATCTTCTCAAAATCTGATGCTCCCTCCCATTTGAGATGGCTGGAAACCCCTTGATCTGCCTGGAAAGCCTGGCCCAGAGGATAAGGAGGCCCAGTGTGGCTGACTGTGGCCCTGCCTACATTTTCTTCCTCCAACCTTCCTCCTACTAATGAGGTCTGGGCAAGATTGCAGCGTCTGACTCCCAAAAACCTCTGTAACCTGCAGATTTTACAGGAAACTAGGATATTCTTTGTCAGCTCTGTAGATATTCATTTGGGAAGGCACAGAAAAGCTGGGGGAATCCAGGTGGTCAGGATGCTGAGTATTGGATCTGAGTCACAGTTCACACACAGGTGACCATGAGGCATTGATTTCAGATCTGTGTTGGTGCCTTTATCACCTCAGTTGCTAGCCCTGCTGGAAGTCATACTCAGAAGCCATTAAGCCAGCTGACTACAACCCAGATCTAGGAGAGGAAATGAATTAATTACACAAAGTCTTCAAAGCTTATCCAGCTTACTGCTGAACTCCAACAGAATGGCAAGTGGAACATGAGATACCTTGGTTTTAAATTTGAGAAAGGACAGCAGTAGCTGTGGAAGTAGTAGTAGTAGCAAAGCAGCAGCCTTAAAAACAGCTATCATTTATTGAGAAAGAGGAAATGCTGAAGAGAGAAAAATGTGAGTCAGGAATTGGGAGCCATCTTCACAGGTTACAAAATTATGCATCTTTTCCTTATGTGTTTTGCTCTCCCATGACCAACCTGGGAAACATTTACTGATTTCTCACCTGTTGAACCAACTGTAATACTTAGTGTAAGGAATAGACCCAAACTTAGTGTAAGGAATAGACCCAAACTGAGATTGCCATGTATACTTTAAAAAACTAAACACACACACACACACACACACACACCAGTGTCCCCATCCAGCTTAGCAAGTCTTCCTCTTCTTGCCTCTAAGTGATTCCTTAGAAACGTCCATATTCTCCATTGTGAGGCTATGAAGTTCCTTTTCCTGCCTCCCCCAACTCTCACAGGCCCTTCCAGAGATCTTTCTGTGGGAAAATAATAAGCTTAGGAAAAGTTTCCATTGTCTGCTTTCTTGGCATCCCTCTTGTCTTCCGGTATGTTTTTCCTTCACCATGAATTGCTATATATTTTTTGACAACTAAACCTTTGCTGGTGTAGAGCTTTGGAAGTAGAATTTTAGTGGGAGGTGAAGTTGGACCTAGAAAAGGATAAAGAAAAACAATATATTTTCATTCTTATAGGGTAACAATCCTTCTAAGTGAGTTATCCTTAGAGATTTTACCTGCCTCCTATCACAGAAGTGGAGATATTTGGGGCCCCATTTCTCAAGCCTGGGGAGAGAAACAACATGTACATTGTAATACTCTTTAAGAATCAGATTTCCTTTCTTACCCTTTCTCCATCCTCTCACTTGGGTTGGAAAAGGCTTCGCTTCAGGAATCATTCATTCACTGGCCTCTCTCCAGCCTCCTCTTCGCAAACAATCCTGCAGTTGTCTACACATGTACCTTTACCGTAACTGCTGGGGCCTTGCTGAAGTGGAGCTAGGTGAACACATCCTCACTCTTCATTGTCATCCCTCTAATTATTTAATTGGAAATAAAATCCAGGGCAAAGAGCTCCAAATATATGCATAAACTCATTGTTTCATGTGAATTAGATAAAACTATTGACCAAGGTGCACTTTTATAGCACTCTTTAAGGCTGAATAAATGCCTCAAGTCTTCATTTAGTGTCAGTGAATTCCAGGGAGTAATAATGTAGAGTGATTTCAAAGTAGTTTATGCACCATTTTCACCCATGCATTTCCAGAGAAATAAACATAACTTATAGATTTTCTTTACCTCCTTTCAATGATGGTCATGTGGACCATCTATATTACCAAGCAAATATGTACCACTTAAAATACTGGAAAACCTTCAAAATAGGAATTTCTAGCTTCCTCCTTCCCATATTTGCTTTTTTTTGTTATGTCAGTCATTTAATACATAAGACAAAGCATTGGTTGGATTTATAAAATGTCAGAAATTCTTTTCTTTGGGGATTTTTTTTTTCTGAAATCAATAGGAGAAATCTAATTAGGGGGCAGAAAGATGAAACTGAGAGAGGGAATGTCATGATGGCCAGATTCTCAATACATCTCTCCCCTCCTTGATAAATCTTAGCTATTTTCTGCTTGAGATTTGGAAGGTCAAGATCCCTTACCCCCAACTTAAGTACCAGAAACATTATTTTATACCAACTGGAATCTAGGTTTTAGTACCTCAAAGGAGACATAGTCTAAGATATGTCCTTTTTATTTAAGAAAAGAAAGGCCAGGAAAAAGAAAAATGCCTTCCACTTAGAGTTTAAGGTTTTCCAGAATGTCCACATCCTGGAATAGATGCTTTTATATTTAGAACATGTAATGGATTTTTTTTTAATGGCTTGCATGGGCAGATGCTTTTTCTTGGGAAAGGCAAACTTCCTGTTCTCTAAATAACAGCGAAAGAAGGGCCTAAGGAATGTTCTGCTCAACAGTTTAATGGAATTAGGTTTGAGGACTCTGTCCCCAAACCACTCACACACCTTCCTTCTCTTATCTGACTGTAGTTTCTAAGGGACCACAACTCCCTTGTGGTTCCTTCTTCATCTTAATTTGCTCTTGTTTGCACTGATGTCTCTTTCTTTATCCTTTTAGTCTCCTCTGATTTCACATAAGTGTCTGGGGACAAGTTTTCATGTTGTGGGTTGTTTTTTAGGTGTTTAAGGCAATTCTTTTGACATTTCTAATCCCCAGCCTTTCTTTAAACAAGTGATGGGGGGATGAGAGAGAGAGAGAGAGAGAGAGAGAGAGAGAGAGAGAGAGAGATTAATGGAGCATCCAGTCATAAGACAATTGGTGGCTAAATACAGTGATTCTCATACATGGACCTGTGAGAACCCTCAGCATGGAGCCTTGGTCGTTACATGAGTTGCCCTTAGCCAAACTACTTAAAAGTGTGCACACGTGCAGAAAGAGAAATGATAGGTTAAAACACGACAGCAGTTTGAGAAGCTTTCTTTGAAAAAATCAGTGGCTAAATCAGAAATTAATGGAGAATTTCCCCCCATCACCCCCAAATATATGGGGATTTCCCAACCCTGAACCCCAGCTCAATCCTAGGCGACAGCTTTCTGATGAGAAGGACTGGGGAGTTATGTGGGGACTGGCCAGGGCCCGGTGAGAAGAGAAGGGAACACAGAGAGAAAGACCAAGGAGAAAAGAACTCACTTTGTGGGAAATTCCTCGCACATTCTTTTCTTCTTCTCAGCAAAATCCTTTCCTGGCCTCCTTGGACCACAGGCGCCGGGAGGAGAGGCGTTCAGAGCCTCGCTGCCTCACTGGGTTCCGGAGGGAGGTCCCAGAACTGTGAGAGAATCAAACTAACACCGCGCGCACCTTTTCCTCTAAAGCGGCTCTTCGCCAACCCCCGTCCACCCTCCACCACCTTGTTCCAACGCTGACCCAGGCTGTTTCCTCTCCTCAAGTCGCGGTTCTGCTTTGCCCACTTCAGCCAGCTACACAGCTACACAGCCGATTTATCTAAAGCTCACAGATTGCCCTCTCCAATGTAATGGTGCTGGGGGTGGGGGGGGTGCTGAGGGAGTGGGGCCCTCTATACCACTCAAAGGCCTTTCTTCCCTTAGGAGCAGAGATTTGAACTGTGAGAAAGAACCCCAGAATCCCCAGCGAAAATGCGTGGGGGCCCCTGTGGAAGGAGTCAACTTTCAGGCTGTTAAAGACCTCAAGTCATCAGCATCAGCTGCGGCCCTAAGGGGGCCATCCAGCGCCTCTAAGTGGCTTAGCGCACAAACCAGCTCCCCAGACGGCCGCGGCCACTCCGCCCGCTCTGCCACCACCTTCCACCACCGGCTGGACGGGAACATCGCTCCGGAGCACATCTCGGTAATCATTTTTACTTTGACTCCCCCCTCCCCCCACCCTACACACACACACACACACACACACACACACACACACACCCGGAGGTCTTAGAATGCGGGCTGACCCCAACGCGGGACCCCCTCAGGGACTATGCAGAACGCGCGGGGCAGAGGGCGGAACGGTGAGGACTCTAACCTGGGTTCGGCCCACCCATCTTCCCTTCACCCCTTTTCCACGCGGTACTGGTGTCCCGGGACCAGACGAGCCCTGTAAATCCCCTTAGGGCTGGCAGCATCGCCACACTGTCTGCCTTGCCCCGTCTCCGGCTCCGCAGAGAGAGTGGGACAAATTCTCACCAAAGCGCATCCTTTCCGATGCTTGCTAGGAAGAGCCTGGTGGGGTGAGCGCTCCTGGCGAGAGCTGGAGCTGGTTTATCAACCCCCGGCAACTGGCTGCGCGAACCAGTGCCGGCTCCGTGGCCAGAGAACCCCTTGGGCTAATCCGCAGCCCGCCTCCCCTGTACAGAACTCAGACCCCAGGCAATGCGCGCGGGTCGGGTCGGTGGGGCGCCGAGGGTCCATCTTTCTGTCAGAGGTTCTCCAAGTGCCCAGGGAAACGGGGAAAGGCCCTTTCCAGTTCTGTTGGTACTTCCCTTTCGGACCCCTGAACTGATTTCCCGTCCTACCAGTCCCAGAGGGGCGATGCATTAGGAGGAGGCGGGCCAGCCGTGCTCCGAGAGGCGCTGCCACCTGGGGAAGGCGCTCCGGACCCGAGGGCTGCGGGCAGGCCCGAGAGATCGCTCCCAGGCAGACAGCGCCGGAGGGAGCGCCCAGCCCAGCAAAGAGTTAAAGGGAGGGGACGTGGGCTGTCACGCGTCATTGGGCAGATTATGTGCAGCAAACAAAAAGTGTGTGTCTGCGTGCCAGTCAGTCACTGCATCGGGTCCATCTGTACAACTCTCATTCTCTCTCTCTCTCTCTCTCTCTCTCTCTCTCTCTCCTCACTCTCCCATCATTTCACTCTCCCCATCTCTCCAGCTCTCTTCCCTCTCTTTAGGCAGAGCCTACTAGACAGCAATACCAACACCTCCTGACATGGAAATACACTGATACAATAGGCGGAAGAAACACTCCGTAGCATCTCCGGGTTCCAGGTGGCGTTTTTGGCCGTTGCATCCCGACCCGATTACTGGTAAGTCTATTTGCATTGATGCGGGAGGGGGAGGGGAGGAAGGCAGGTTTGGTGGGGAGAGTGGAAAATTCTGTCCCTCGGTTTCCTCAGTATCCAGAAGAGGGGGGGGAAATCGTTGTGGAGGGGATCTCTGCTGCCAATAAGATGATACAAAGGGAGGAGCTGGGAGAGAGCACTTTGCCCGAGAAGCGAGCGGCTGCGGGCGCGCGGCCGCCAGACAATGCCTGCCTCCGGGGGAGGGCGAGCGGCCGGCGGCAGCGCGGGCTTCCCGGCAACCCGGCCGGCTCCCGGAAGGATGCTCGGGCGGGTGAGAGCCCGGGGCCTGGAGGAGGATGCGGAGCTGGGAGAGGTTGGGTGGCAAAGCCCGCCGCGCCGCGCGGAGGAGCCAGCCCCGGCTCTCCCCTCGCCCGGCGCGTATTGTGACCGGCTGGGAGCTCCCGGCGGCGGCGCGGCCCCCAGTCCGCGCGGCGCAGCGAGGATCTTTGCTCCGTATTGTTAGGTGGAACTGCATGTTAATGATCGTGCCCCTGCTGTTGCCCGACGTGACGGGGCGACCTCCAGGCACAATGAAACGCTTGTGTGAAAGAGACTTTTAAAAGGAGAAATTGGGGCATAAAACGCCGAACTGGGGAAATTGAATAGGAGAGAACAGGATTTCGTTGAAAAGGAGATGAGAGGTTCTGGAGGATTTTTAAACACATATATTTAGATTTTCAATTGGAGATTAGAAAGACTACTCTGTGCGGGGTAAAAATGCCCAGAGATAGACGCTGTAGCAGAAAGTAAGTTTCTCCTTTAGGGCTATTCCTCTTATTTCTGTCTGGCAGATACAGCCCAATACTTGACATTTGGGGGGGGGGGGCTGCAGCAGCGTGAATGAAAAAAAAAAAAAAAGAGGCTGACCAAAGTTTCACGCTCTGTTAACTGGGAAGAAAAAAAAAAGCACTACCTTGTAATCACATTTGCAAGATTAATTGGTTAATAGACAGTAAGATAAAAATGGACATTACTAATATCCGTAATGAACAGCTTCTCAGGAAAAGAATTACGTCTACACTTTCCCGATACTTAAATTACACAAAACATACATCAATGACTGCCTATGTTGGCATTAGGAGGGAAAAACCAACGTGGGGGGAGGCCTTTGAATCAATCAGAAAGAGTGAACAAAGCAGTTAGTTCAAAGCTAGTTTAAATTTTAAATACCAGCTCTAGTTATGTTTTTTAAATGATAAACCTTGTAGGCAGTGTCCAGTGGCAAAGGAAGAAAAATGTCAAATGACAGCTTAATAGAGAGCCCTCCATCCAGGCATTACTCTCTCAATTGCTGCGGATGAAACAGCTGGAGAGTCCACCCACGGCTTCCCTAGTGGGGCTGCCCCCTCTCGCTCAGACAGGGTCGGATCTGGGGGAGCGAGAACTCACCAGTCATTAACCTCGCCATATCTCAAACGGGGGACACTTCTGGCCTGCCCTGTACCTCTCCCTTCATGAGGCACACGCGACTCAATCCACCCCCTGTATGACAAGGTATCTGGGATTCACCCTCCTCCATAAATAAGCATGTCGAGAAGAAAATAATTACCTCTGCTTGCTGCTTTTGATTAAAGCCTCCGAGGGACAGTGTTGGATTATGGTAATGAGCCGACATACGTCCCCTCTCGCCCCTCTCGGAGGCTGCAGAGAAAGGTTAGCTGACACGGAATCAGTGGCCCTGACACTCTACTTGAAATCCATTCGCCATGCTCGGCTGTCTCCACCTGTTCGCTAATGCTGCTCCCCTCTTTGGAAGAAAATGAAATAAAATCAGCCCGGGAGGAAGGGAGAGGAGCTTTCTCCCAAGCTTTAGAAGTTTCTTTCAGTCAAGAAAGTCTGTAAAAAATACTATTGTTCTCCCCCACCTTCACCCTTCCCAAATCCTGCCCCATCCACCCCCTAGTTACTGAAAAAAATCTCTCTCTCTCTCTCTCTCTCTCTCTCTCTCTCTCTCTCTCTCTCATCTACCCTGAGTTCCCACTATTCCAGGATCTTCTTAAAAGAAAAGTATTCCTCAGTTGGCATCTTCACACTATGCAGGGTTTAATCTGCTATTGGCTTTATTTCTGAAATAAGAGCTAGACAAAATTCAAGAAAAATCTGTCGAGTAGTTAAAACGCTCTGTCTGGATTCATAAAGGCAAAAGGAGAAATGTAACTCCGTTTGGTGTCCTGTGTGTTTGTCTCCAGGGATGGAGGATTCAGGCATCCAGCGAGGCATCTGGGATGGCGATGCCAAGGCCGTCCAACAGTGTCTGACAGACATTTTCACCAGCGTGTACACCACCTGCGACATTCCTGAGAATGCTATATTCGGGCCCTGCGTCCTGAGCCATACCTCCCTGTACGACAGCATAGCTTTCATAGCTCTCAAGTCCACCGACAAAAGGACAGTTCCTTATATCTTCCGGGTAAGTCTTGGCCAATGCTCGCCAAAAATTGAAAAGGAAACTTAAGCTCAAGTTATTGTCAACTGATTTTCTGGAACAAATGATAAAATTTGATTTGAAATACCAGGTATGTCTAAAGCAGTGCCTTAATTCTGGGCTTTCCTAGTGAATACCTTAACTCTGGGCGTTTTCAGAAGATTGAGGCTATTTGCATAATAAGTACTTTCTGTAAGTATTTTTATCCTAAGTATTAGGCGCAATTGCCTTCCAACATAGTAGGCCTTCTGTTCCCCTAAATAATATTACCCCTTCTGGAAAAGATATCTAGTGCCCGGAGTTTGTATTTACATAAAAATGTTAAAGAAGTATTTTTTAAATCCTCACCCGAGGATATGTTTCCATTGATTTTAGAGAGAGTGGAAGAGAGAGGGAAAGACAGAGAGAAACATCGATGTGAGAGAAACACATTGATTGGTTGCCTCCTGCACATATGGTTTGACAATAAAATTACATTTAATCCATATGTTTAAGTTTAGAGATAAAAGCCCTCTTACTTCCTATTCTTTCTCTACAAATAAAAACTACTGTTTAAGTTAAAATTAGGAAGATGAGTGAAGCCACACAATAATATCTGAGATCTAACCTTTTTATTTCCAAAACGAACCAAATTCCCCCACATTTTTGTAATATGGGATAATTTAGCAGTAAATTCTCAAGAGGTTAACACTAATTTGAATTGGAAGAAAAATTCCTCATTTGATATTCAAGCAATATGTGAAAAAGACTACAGAAATAATCTATGATCGATGCAGACTTTCAGAGGACGACTCTCTTGCCTGCTGGATACACGCACGAGGGTGGGTGCCAACTTGGGTCAAGTTTTTGGAATCCTGATCTCAGATAATTCTTTGGAAAAGAATGACACGCAGGAAATGGCCCTGGTTCCTCTGGCTTCACTCTCTCACAGGAGTCTCCCTCCCCAAACCCCTTCCTTCTTGTATTCTTTCTTTTTTTCTCAACTGTAGGTGGACACCTCAGCGGCAAATGGTTCCTCGGAAGGTCTCATGTGGCTGCGTCTGGTGCAGTCAGCCAGAGAGAAGGAGGAGCAGAACCTGGAAGCCTATATAAAAAACGGACAGCTGTTCTACCGCTCTCTCCGCAGGATTGCCAAAGACGAGGAGTTGCTAGTTTGGTACGGGAAAGAACTGACTGAGTTACTCTTGCTCTGCCCCTCTAGACCCCACAGCAAAATGAATGGTAGGTTGGCTCCAGACCTGTGTGGGGGCCCTTAGCTAACCGCGGAGCAAAGCAGGGAGCGGCGGGGCTCACCCCGGCGCCTGTGCGTGCCTCTCCTCCCTTTGGGCGTCTCTAAGGAAGCTTCCGAGATTAGTCTGTAATGAAGCTGGGGCAGGCAGGTGAGGAAAAGTCGTGGGGGTAGGAAAGTGGACACTTGGCTTAATTACTGCACTCCCCCCAATGGGGGGGGGGAAGTTATATCAGTCGCAAAAGGATCTTCTCATTTCAGGCACCCAGGCCTGAAGAAATGAAGGTGGACTTGTGAAGGGGGTGATGATAAACTGGAGACGATGCTGAGTAATCATTTGGGGTGTGTGTGTGTGTGTGTGTGTGTGTGTGGCGTTTGCTCTCTAAGCAGGGTCGTCCCCTTACACATGCCTGGACTGCAGCCAACGTTTCCAGTTTGAATTTCCCTTTGTGGCGCACCTGCGCTTCCGCTGCCCCAAGAGAATTCACAGCGCGGACAGGAGCCCCCAAGACGAGCAAGGCGGCGGCGTGGGCACCAAGGACCACGGGGGCGGCGGCGGCAAGGACCAGCAGCGGCAGCCGCCGGAGGCGCCCTTGGGCCCGGGCCCCAAGTTCTGCAAAGCCGGCCCTCTCCACCACTACCCGGCCCCCTCCCCCGAGGGCAGCAACCCTCCGGCGACCGGCGGCGGTGGCGGCGGCGGCTCCAAGCCGTCCACGGACTTTCACAACCTGGCCCGGGAGCTGGAGAACTCGGGGGGAGGCGGCAGCTGCTCCCCGGTGCGGAGCCTGA